TTAAATGTCACCATTAGCTTATAATTTCATAGATATTTTATATGAATTTTCAATGAATCTTCAACTGACAAGAGATTCCCTTACACTTTAGTTCTTTTAGTCTTGCCTCTTTCTATAAATCAACATAGCTTTAAAAGTATTTTTTATAGAAATTATTCTGTAAAAAGTGAGGGAAAAAAGCTTTTTGTACTGTGAATAAATCCAATTTTATGTGAATCATGGAATAGCACGTTTCTTAAAAGTTAGTCTTAAATGGAACAGTATGTTCAAACCAAGTCTACGGTTTAAAAGAAATTGCTTACTTAGATTTCTCAATGAAGTACCTTTGTCATAGTTTATAAATAATAAGATATTTTAGTGTTAGTTTTTCAAAGAAATTACTGAAAGTTATTAAAAATTAAATACATATAGATGTCTAAAGTCCAAAGGACCAAGTGGTTCTTTTTATACTGAGCACATGTTAAGTTTCTCTTCTGATAATGTCATCAGTGCTACTCAAAGAAATCTTCCATTTCTTGAGACATATCTTCAGGCCAACTCCCTTATAAAGAATAAAGTGGTCTAGAGATTACAGCTACTCTTCCTAGTCACCACACTTCTCGGTCCCCTACAGCAAGTCTTTCTAAGGGTAGTAGGAAATAACACCACATTGCTAAAAAAGTTACTTCAGACAGTTCTTTAAAAATTTCTGCCTTGGTTTCTTCCCTACTTGGGATCATCTTGTTTGGTGTTTCTGTCATCCATACTTTCATTTAGCAAAACCATCCTGTGAAAAGTACTGTTTTAATGATAGCTGGGCTTCAATACGGTAGTACAGAAGGTCACTGTGAATTAGGTACTCAATGTCTCTAAATATCATAAGACCAGTTAGTTATCTAAAACTCACAAATTCATAAAGTGTGGTGGAATACAAACAGAAAATAATAACATAGGCAATATCATTTCTACCTTTGTAAGAGACAGGACTACCCTTTAGAGATGTTGTGTTTGACTTTTCATGTATATTTTAACACAGCAATAGGCAATTAGTTCAATAGGTTTTAGTTCATGCTTTCACACAGAAAATCCTGTTAGCAAAACTAGTCAAGAGTTCAGAAACAACAAAGGTCACGAGAAATCAAATGGTTAACACTTTGCCTAAAGACCAAAAGAAAATATGCCTTATTTTACAAAGAAAATTTGAGATCCCAAATAACTAAATGATTTTCCAGTGAATTTTTGCAATCTGATGGTTTTCAAACTTTTTAAACCATACCTAAGTAATATACCAGTAACATACATTTATATTACACAACCTATTACACATTATTTTCATTTATTTAAGTAATGCAAAGGTTTCACAAAACAATACCCTTAAAATTTGGGACACATTCTGATTATTTTTACTTAAATTTTTTAAAATGCTGATCAAGACCCATTAAACTGATTTCTTTACCCACTAATATATCACAACATCCACAGTTTGAAAAACTGCATTAGAAAGTAGAGTTTCAACCATAACACAGTATCATGTTATGAAATTTTGTTGCTTTCTATTATAGATATTTACTGATTCTTTTAGTAAAGACACACACAACAATATAAAAATATTAAAAGAAAAGGACAGCATAACAGGTAGAACATTATCAAGGAGATAAAATGCCAAAACTAGATAAAAAAAAAATATTCTGATAGCTTTAAAAATCAGAAAATCTGCAAGATCAATTGATAAACTTATGTTTAAGAGTATTTAAATACCATCGCTTTCAATAGTTCAGACATTCCAAAAGTTAAAATAAACTGCATACCTGTCAAGCAACTCCTTTCTTTAGCGATAATATAAAAATAATTAACATTCTTTATTGGGAAGGATGATATATCAACTCAAAGATGGAAGAATCCTTACCCAAACACTATAGGTGCTCACAGAATAGTCTCAGTCTTGAGAGAGAGAGATACCCAAATTTCTAAACAAATGTATAGAACTGTGATTTGAGGAAGGAAAATACAGAACATACGAAAGGAAGATTGAAGGGGAAGGTAAAAAAACAGCAAACACAGGCATTTTTTAAAAAATCATAAGTAAATCTTTCCTGTTTTCTTAAAAAAAAAAAAAATTAAATAACCTTAGAAAAAGAGAATTCAGAAGAGCATTTTAAATCTATTGTACCTCAAATCATTACACTAGAATCAAACATTTCTTGGTGCTTCCCCAAAAAACTTTCTTTATATGTTCTGGTGATCGTGGCATAGAAAATCTTGGATGACAGGGTTTTCAGGTCAAAGGCCCTTTAAGACTAAGAAAAGCATATTACACATTTGTGCAAAAATAACTCCAAATGGTCTTAAACTTCAGCCAAGCCAAATCAGAGTTGTCAAAAAATAAAAGTAAAAATAATACCCTCCCATTTCAAAAAGAAAAGCCTTCAGGATAGCAAATTCAGCCAGTTTGGACACCCTTCTGTATACATGCCAATGGCTGATGCAGACATTTCTTATTCTAACAATACAGAGAAACACTATTATTTGATACATAATTTATCAGCAACTAACATTTCAATGGTTTTTTAGTAACTCTCACTTTCCAGATACTCATTTCGTTCCCTTCCTCTGACCTCAAACAGCCCAGAAATCTTTTTATTTTGTTTTTTTAAAAAGGGAAAAATATCTAAGTGATGGTAGTTATCAAAGGTGTGTGCTCATCATTTGGTAGAATATTTCTTCAGAAGTTATCAAAATGAACTTTAAACTAGCATTAACAGTTCCTAACCTAGTACCCTACTCTCTCAATAAGACTTTAAATGTACTTTTACTCATTTCATTCAATTTTATGTAAACAAATTATAACAAACTTACTTTTCACCACATAGATTTACTTTGAAAAGGTATCCCGAAAAATCTCTAAATAACCTAATGGTACACAATAGCGATTTTTAGTGATTCTTCTACCTTCTAAAAGTACACTGTACACTTTACAATATACTTTGAGTATTTAAAATCACAGTGGCCTTGGACAAAATAAAAATAATCTTCATGTTGTCTTGCACATCTCCTGCCTCTGCTGCAATAATGCATTTCTAACCTCTATATTTATACAGAAACAAAATCCACAAATATATCTTTAAAGTTCAATGACCTTTTATCTTTTGAATATCAAAAAGAACACCAAATGATTCAGCAAGCAGGATATTACTAGTCGTTCCTTTCAAATGATGTTGGGGAAATTGGGAATGCGGGGGTAAAGATAAAGAGGAAAGGAAGAGATAATGTGTTTTCTTTACATGCTTAAAAATATCATCTTAATGTTTTTAAAGCAAAAATGGTGAAGTTATGTAGAGAGTAATAAACACAAATCACTAGAGACAATAAATAACTATAACCACAGAAAATAAAACTGCAACAGTCCAAAGAAACACCAAGACATGGTCAAACTGTCCTCATTGGTATTTTTTTAAATTTTATATTTAGTTAGGAACATGAGAGTTCTTTTTGAGTGTTTGATGTGAGCTACCCTACTCAAAGGTGCCTGGTCTTCCCCCAAAGCCACACTTTACTGAAGTATAAGGAGGAGCTAGTTCTACATGGAGACAGTCAATCTAATATACATTTTGTCTCACTGCTACTTTCACCTTTACTTTATACTCTCATCAGTGAGGAAGCTTTTCTTCATTTAACTGTACACATGCAGAGTAAGAAGCAGAAAACATTCAACATGGCAGAGATACTGCAGAAAGATGGATAAAAACCAAACTTACCAATATTTTTTCCTTTTAAAGACCCAAAGTATTTGACAAATTCTAAACTTTTAATATATACAAACTATTAGCTTCTGCAGTCTTCTCTACTCCTTCCCAATTATCCCTTGGTTTAGGCATAAATGTAAAGGTATAAAAAGCTTATACTATGATTATTTCCCTACTCAAATAGCATAATGAACAGAAGATGAAAACTGACAAAGATTCTCTCTGACCAAATTCTAGTCAGGCTCCTCTGAGCCCTCTTCTCAACTTTGGTCTCCTCCTTGGCCTATAAAAACTAGACTCTTAACACAATGATTTCGTCCACTCATTAAAAGATTTAAACAAACACTAACAGTTTCTAAAAGCTCAAGGCCCCAACCCTAGGTTGATTCTAGCCCCTTTTAAAATGTCTGCCTAGGAAAGCTTAAAACAGCCAAAAGAATTTAAGGTTTGTTGTAGACAACACCTGACTACTAGCCCCTGAGCACCCTATCTTAGAGCATTTACTAAAAAGAGTTTACTACTGTGAATCCTTCCTCTGTCCCTATATGTATCTCTTACAATTCAGGACTTTTTTTTTCCCTCAAGGGCATGAAAGCCATTCCTTAAAAATGTAATCATCAGGAAGGATAGGACCTCAGTCTCTGTAAGAGGACAAAACCTAACCTCCATGGTTGTCAGCTAAAATATATGGCCAGTCTTATCATCATTTACATTGACCAACCCTTTGTAATTTTTCACTTCCCTGACTCCATTGAGCTCCATTGAGCCAAGAGAGCAACCCCTGCCTACTTCTCCACTTTCCCTTTAAAATGTCCAGTCATTGCACAAATCAAAGTTGAGTTCAGTTCACACTGGACCCTTTTCCCTATTGTAGCAGTACATTACTGTTTAAAATCCGTCCTTACCTCTGTGGTGTCTGTTTATCTTAGACAAAAATGAAGTAATAAAAAAAGGAACATTAAACATACTTCAATCAGTAAAGACTTAGCTATTTTATGTAAGATCATTCAGATATAAAATTCTTTCAAACAAAACAAAACAAAAGACCTAAGGTTTCAACTTCATGAAGGAGTCATAATTCAAGGAGTCAACCAATCAGCATTTGGGGGCTGGAAAGGGCCCCTGACAAATCAAACCCAAGCCCTTTATTTACAAAGAAACAAAACCCCATGCATAAACCCAAAGGAGGACCAAATGATTGAGATAGTCTTAAAAACCACTAACAGAAAAGAAACAAAAGTAAGTAAAAAATATAAAAAATCCTTTTTCTGCACTTACCAGCAAAGCATTTGGAACAGAGGTTCATAGTCTTGCTGGACCTGGGGCAAAAAAAAAAAGAAAAAAAGAAAGAAGAGCTAAAAATTCAGTATACTCTAGTTAAAACATAAAGATGTTTGAAAGGTAGGCAAAGAATTTCCAGGACAGGCAACTGAACTAATAAACTAATTGTTAAGTCTCTAACCAGCCACCCCTCCCCCACAACAAAACAAAAACAAAACATAATACTGTTATCTGTTGAGTTATTCGATACATTATTTTTTGTGATTAACAGCTTAAGAAGATAACATGCAAGTCAATTTATCCCACGT